ACAGGACCCTCTAGCATATGGTGAGCATCAATACAATGTCCAAGGAAGGTCAAGGAATCGACGCCAAAAACGTTTTTTTTAAGGGAAGTCATCGGATAGTGGTGGGATAATCTTTTGAACAGTGTAAGCGAAAGCTGTTCGTTCTGTTCCATATTGCCACTAGCAACTAGTATATCGTCAATGTAGACGGCCACGAGTAACCTCATCCCTTAGTCTTTGAAACGTCTGTGCGGCGTTTTTAAGCCCAGAGGGCATCCTGTTAAATTCCAACAATCCGAAAGGGATGATGACGGTCGTCTTGTCTATGTGATATGGATTAACAGGGGCCTGAAAATAGGCAGCTTTAGGTCAACTTTTGAGAAAATGTTTCTGTCTTTTAGAGCAAAAACAACGTTTGTAATACATGGCAGAGGCTATCTGTCTGGAACCGTTACAGCACTGAGTCACAGGGCCTCCATTCATTCCTATCTTTCTTTTGGACCAAATTAAGCGGGGACGCCCATGCACTCTTTAATTGGCGAATAATACCAGCATTTATTAAACTAGTGAACATAAATTTGGCTGCCTTTAGCCTGTTCGGGGCTATTTGACGAGGTCGGTGGAAGACTGGGCGATTGGTGGTCTCGGTGTAATGTATTACTGTGTGGTTAGTTGCACCTATGTGAATAGCAGGTTTGGTTATGGAGGGGAACTTACTCAGCAGCTCATTCAAGGTTGAGTTGTCCGTCCTAAACACCTGGCACGAGTGGTACAAAGGGGCCGGTTTGGTATAGGTCTAATGATAATCCACGAGCCTGTTAGTTATTGGATCAACTCAAAGTCGGTGTCCCCTGAGAAAGTCAATCCCAAGGAGTTTTCTTGACTCGCAAGCCTGAATTTTGTTGTGATGATGTTACCTCGCTCTGATGATGTCTGAAGGAAAGTTATAGGCGAGGGTCTCGATATTCGAAAAACCCAGACGACGGTGTAGTGTGGTATTGATGTAAGAGGGCAGTGTTCGGTCACAGAGGGTAACGAAGGCACCAGGGGAGCGATGGGGTAAAGAGTGTCAGCCGAGGAAGTACTTTTAGTGCCACGTCCCGGTGAATCATGCTCCGTTTGGTGTTGCACGAGTCGACAGATTACCGTAAGATGTAGCCAAACTGATTATGCAGTAAGTCACTACAAACGTTTTAGGACTTGGAGTAGAGATATGTTAACTCGTCAAATCCGCACACCTTAGGCTTAATTTCCGTTTTGGATGGGGATTATATTTGGCTTGAAGCCCGCATTACAAAATTAAATTTCGCGGGAAAAGCAAATATAGTTTAATTATCACCGTCTGAATAATCAATCGTTTAATGATTTCCATTCTTAAAAGTATTGTGATAATTGTCGTACTTATATAAAATATGTTCTTTTATTTTTTTATCCCCTTCCCCAATTGCTTTCAAATTCTAGTCCCCATATCCACCACCTCTGCCACCTCGAACACCGGGTTGCATTGGGGCTTCTGGGGTGCGTGTGTGCAAAACAGACTGGCGCAACTCCAGCCACTCCTCTTCTTCTGCCTCTTCTTCCGCATCCTCAGCTCCTTTGGACCCTACTGGCTATTGTGGCAACAACGGCTATAATCAAACGCATGAGCTAGAGCCTTGTCGTAGTCGCCCGAAAGCCCGGCCTTTCAGCAACTCTTCCCCCTTACCTTCCGGCAGATTCTGTTCATCCAACAGGTCTGAGTGCCCCGAAAGAGTCGCCCCTGACAATGAAGAATTTCTTGTTAAACGGGAACTATCCACGGGCCTTGGAGAGATTGAGACCTGTTACGCCTCCATTAAAATCAACCAACCGGTGCCTATTCTAAATCATTATTATCATCAATACAATCAGATTGAATGCCCCCAACAACTCCGACAATTTTTGCCACATCAAGACCAGGTGATTTCCAGTACCTCACCATTGTCACATATAAACGATAGTAAATTTGCTTTGCCAATGATGCCCAATTGGCAGACTAATTTAGGCTTCTCTGTGCCGCAACCTTTCAACCTACCTGCGCCTGTGCGGACTCAAGCTTTATTTAATGAACCAGCGTCCGGGCCGCATCAGCGTTCGGCAAGCGCCAGATGGCCGTCGCGCAGATGTGGGCTGTCAGAAGGACCGGCA